TCCGTGGAAGAAAAAAATCCACAACACAAGGGCAGAATAGAAGGATGAATAACAGGGCAGTGGTGGGTAGTGTATTTATGTGTAGAGAGGGTTCCGGATTCAGTCAGAACCAATTCAACGACAGTGATCTTTTCTACGTCACCGACGTTCACTTTGTTTCTCACACTTGATCGGCTCAGAGTATCATAATCCTCGAAATTTGCTAACCAAAACATTCACAATCACTCAATTTTTTGAATCATACACACCATGATCATGAACTGCAGAGCTGGTTAACCCCTTATCTGCTAATGATAACCTGCAATCTAATGCCTAGCACTTGAGGTGACGAATGAAATAAGTGTTCAGCTAAGATTGCCGCATTAGAAATCCGCTGGGTAACGAAGCTGCTTATCACCCAAGTTTAGCGGTATTAGCAGCATCCGAACTTCAGACCGTATGGCCTAAATCGCGGCAACGAGTAACACTGTCCACCAATACAGAACGCATCCGTTCAGGCGTCTTTCCCTCCCCCGGGCATTATGTTAATTTAATGCTCTTCTCTTCTTCTGTTGATAGTAAATACTTAGCGATGTGTCATCTAAACTAGACACCGCTCTGCACGTGCATTTATACAGACCCAACTCTTGTACACCTAAAAACTCAAGATACACTGATATGTTTTGTATTACAATTCTGTTTGTGAACTGTTTTCCATTTTCTCGCATTTTAGCACCACGGCGGATCATGTCAGACGCAGAATTCCGCTTTGACTTTGCCCTAGAGACAGTGGCGTCCAGCTGGCAACAAGAGGATCCAAACGAACCGGGTGAAGAGGACGAACTGAATGTCTGTGAGTCGAGCGAAACGGTAACTGGTGGCGGTCATTCGTTTTTCGAGACCCAGACTCGCGGAAACGCATATTTCACTGTCACCGATCCTGTCAAAGTCAAGCAGGAATGGATCAATAGGAGGCGAGCTGTGAAATCGGACATCCAACGGGAGGTGAAAATGTTAGTGTGGAAGAAAATGCACAAGGAAAAATAAACTCCAATGTACATTTATCATAAAATTCCATTTTTTCCATCCTAATTGTCGGTTTTTCGTCTGTAGTCGGGGAGCACCCATAACAACGCGGTTGATGTTTTTAAAGTAGAGCAAACCTGCTTCCTCGGTTATAGGAATTATTATTTCCAAACGGCATTTCAGGCTTCTGAACAATAGATAGATATCCTAAGTGCCCGCATCGTTTTGATACCTCTAAGTAGAGCATCGTACGGTCAATTTCGGTGTGCTTGTGGTGGGAAGGGGACGAAGATTGCCAGATGAAAAGAGAGATGCGGGGACGTTAGGCGGTCTTCGATTCGAAATATATAAGTCCCCAGTAGTTCTGTTTTTGTCCTACAATGCGTGATCGTTTTTGGGCTATTACAAGTCTAAAACTTTTCAAATTCAAGTGAATTCAACCAATCGCATTCCAATGGGAACACCACAAGGCGATTGGTGTTTCGGCCGTCAAATGGCCCCGTTTGAACCGGGTCTGTCCAAACCCCGTACAGTCCGAATGAACTCACTTCTCCGAAGACAAACAAAAGTACTTTTTGAGTGAGTTATTGAGCGAGAATGAAGGTTTCCGTGGGATGGGGTGATCTGTTCGTTTCCCCACCCTGAAACGTTATATCCGTGATCGTTGATCGAATGTGTCATATAAGTGACTGACAGATTTGGGTTGACTGAACGCATCAAGTTAGTTGTTTTTAATGAACAGCGGTCAGCTTTCCGCACCAGATACACAAACAATTCGGGGACTGTGTGAATTAACCTATGAGTTGTGATCACCCATTGCCATCTGACACTGTCTAATCGAATACAAGGACAAGTGAATTGCGGTTTAAATTTTTTCTTAGCCATGTGTTTCTGGCTTAGTGAAGCACCGGGACTAGCACGAACAGATCAGTAGATACCGTGTCATATAAGTCAGAACAAAGTGGAAACTTTGCTGTTACTATGGCCATAGGAGTGATTGCCCTCTATTCCTATCTGACACCTTTTACTTTCTCCAACTTTCCTCATTTGCTGTCTTGTTCTCACACTTTCGTATCTGTTTTATTCATTCTGGACCAACACCTCTCCTATCATGCCTACTTCACACATTTTGCGTTGCTTGGTCCCATCCACTTATCGTGGTCCACAGACACATTCACTAAAAGCTTAAGCCTTGTATAATCTCCTGACAAACGGATATATATATATATATATGCTTGAAGCGGTATATAAGTCATACTGCTCATTCAGATACAGAAACCCCATTTTCTCACATTCCACCTACACAATCTGAATGAGAACTTATTTGATCTCACTATGGAAGCAACCGGGTCAACCATTATCGTGCTTCATGAACATTTGGTGATACGATCTGGTAACTAGGATGACGCAATAGCTAATCTGTGGAAAAATAATGGACTGGAACAGTTAAACTGTGAAAAGGGTTTATGGTGGCAACAAAATTCCTTTGGTTAGGCAACTGTGTTGTAGTTGTTATAATAATGAGCGACATTGGCAATTTAGGCTTCTTGTTCAAAAATACGGTGAGCATTGGTGGATTCGTTTACCTATCTAATATAAATACCTTATGAATTGCCGCTTGATAGTTACATCTATTCTCCGTGCTGTGGCAGCTGGCATTGCACTGTAAGGATAGTATACTACAGGCGTACGACACTGGTAATGACTGATTGTTTTTCACTGCATCACTTGGTGTGAAGAAAAGGACAGCGATGACAGATAAGAAGACACCAGGAAGAACAATCAGAATCAACCCACGTAGAAAGACGGTTCAATAAGTTATCGAATCACGATGATTTCATCATCATACAGTGAAATACAGTGAAGCGAAGCGTCCATCTAACCATGTTCGTGTACATTATCCGACAGCTATCAAAATGCTTGATTTTTAATACCTTTGATCGTCAATTCTTTGTTTTAATCACCGAACGTTTTTGTGAATGGGAGATATAAATCAGAAAGTTCTATGATTGGTATTCAGTTGTTCGCCGAGCTTGGCAATTGTATTGCAACATCAACCAATCAGGCAACGTCACATCTCTACATGACTCAACGACCTATATAAGGAAAAGGACACTCATAAGCGCTCGCAGTTACTGCATTGAGAAGGTCCTTCGATTGGTGATAAAACGTTTGCAGTACAATTGCCAAGCTCGGCGAACAACTGAACATCAAATTATACCACCCGAGCTACAAAAACAATAATCAACACTGTTGTTTACAAAACTGTCAGTTCTATGATTGTTGAAGTCAATATGCCGGGCAATTGAGAAATTTCGTAGAATCTAGAGCATATTTATAATTACAGTAGGCTGGTTTTACGCTTTGTGTTTGTGGATAATTTCACGCAGAAGCAGTCCATTGGTAGGTATTGTTTTCAGGGGTGGGGAGAGCGAACAGATCAGCCCATCCCACGGAAACCTTCATTCTCGCTCAATAACTCACTCAAAAAGTACTTTTGTTTGTCTTCGGAGAAGTGAGTTCATTCGGACTGTACGGGGTTTGGACAGACCCGGTTCAAACGGGGCCATTTGACGGCCGAAACACCAATCACCTTGTGGTGTTCCCATTGGAATGCGATTGACTGAATTCTCTTGAGTTTACAACGAATTCATTTGAATTTGAAAAGGTGTAGTACCTTGAGGTTAAAAAGTCGGTGAGTTTGGAGTAGCCATACATCGTTGATCTGTCTAGTGAACCGTTTACCACTTCAGCATGGAGTGTACCTCTTCTTGTGTTATTCACACAATGACTTGTAATGCACAAAAAGAGCGGTTTCCTAGAACTCCGTGTCGTCATAAACTGAATGGTACCTAAGGGTTGTTGAAAATCACTGCCAGTATTATACGACCTATATTCACGGGTCGTCTCAGTGCTCAAAACAAAGTTAAGCTATTCTCATGAGCCCTGATCAGTTGCACTGCATCTTGGAGAGAATGCGCTGCGATTTCTTGCATGGTTTCCCTATNCTATACACTTTTCTGTACGGACATTAGGCACGCTGAAATCTGAACCATATCTTGATGATGCTTGTCAAGCCTATGCCAGCTACCTCGAAAGGGAATTATTTGGATCGGTAGAGGTTGTGTAAACTTGTATGCTTACATTTCATGGACGAGTTGGTTTGATATTAGGTTCTCCGACACAGTAAGTCGGAAGCCTGAGGGCTTAGAACGGACATACGGCACTAATAATGATGTTTTTTCAAACATTGAATCTGCTGAGCCCAATTTTCAGTTTGACTACTTATTCTTAGTGTTATAAGATAAGTAGCGTTTTGCTGGTCATCCTCCAAATATCACACTGTGATGGAAGGTGGTACAAAGAGAGACCGGGCTAGCGAACAAATCAAGAATAGGGCCTATCCAACCAGGTGCACCAACATAGCGGCTGGAAGTACTTCGCGAGACAATGTCGACTACCACTCGAAACAAACGAATTAACAATTACAGCCCGACGACAATCCGCATCTAACCAGAGAGATATCCACCGAATACCACATCGGAGCTGTCGATCAACGTATCTCGCGCTATGTTCGGGAACGGCACGCGGAAGAAAAGGAAACCTACGTGCCAAGTGCGGACCAAAACCAACAGAACGAGGCATGAATCATTCTGCAATCCGGCTGAGAATTGATAGTATATAATCGAACGCTTGTTTTTTAATTGGATTAATAAACGTTTTGCCAGCCGACTCGCCTTCTCGTTACAATGCACTCTGGAAGCAGTGCATTCTAGTTGTTGCAAGTATATGATTTATCTATACTCTAGGGGAATTTCATACATTCAATTCAAATCTGTAAATTCAACTTCACATTCTCTTTTGACCCACTCCAGAGTATGTATTGACAGTATCACCACGATTGAAGATGAATATCACCACCGTTGGCAATGCAGCGGTTACGACTCAATATTTTCTAGATATAATTTGATTTTTTTTGTCACATTGGCCCTCTTCGTCCACCCCAGCTTCTAGCCGCTGATTGTTCAGTTCCGTCAATTGTCGCATTTGTTGGTGTTGGTGAGTTCTCTGAGCAGGAAGTGTTTTTCGCAGACGTTTCGTAGCCAAGCAAGGCAACATCATCAGTGCGACTTCGAGGAATTGCCAATCCCCAGTGGGACATGGTTTATATAGTTCTGTTTGAGGGTTATGATTGGCTGTTTGCATCCCTTTAATCCTATTAGTCAATAGCAAACGGTTGCTGTGATTTGATTGGCTGCTCCGTTGTCAAGGTAACCATTCCTTGCTTGGCCACGAAACGTCCGCGAACAACACTTCCTCCTCGGAGAAATCAACGACACCAAAATCCGCATCCCGAGCGACAATCATTCCACATCATTTCAAATGTCGCATTTTTTACATCAATTACCAAGTGTTCTATGTCCGGAAACCGGAAGAGTATATAAGCAGATGGGTTCATGCTGTAATTCCGACTTGTGTAAAGTACACGTTCATGCTTCCCATCAGTGTTCTCACTTCCGTAGCTGATGCACATTCAACGCTGTGATCGTACTTTTGGGGCAAGACGAATTCTCAGGTATGCACCCCGTAATGTTCGGACGTATGCTGCGCGTGCCCACGCTCTGCGATATCGTACACATCGTTCGTGGGCGTCCAAGTTGCGTTCTCGACCATCACTATTGTGATGCGCAACACAACAGTTGTGTTGTCCTGCCGTGTGATAACTTGTGTTTGAGATGCAGTGAGTCCCATGTCGGTACTGTAGTTTCGTGAGTAATATTGAACGGGAGATCAAATAGCAAACAAACAGAATATGTGCAGAGAGCGGTCGGATGTACAAGCGTCATTGTTCATGACGCAGCTCTATCACCCAAGTCCTTGATTATTGGTCAAAGTACCTACGGTGTCCCCAATGGGCAAACCTTATGCTGTTCACACGGTCAAGTTCTATGGCCATATTGAACCTTAGATTAACCACATTTGGCATTTCTTTAAACTGTGCATGGCCTCCGAAACTATAG